CACGTTGCGCCACAGCGTGCACAAGTTACGGCACACTTCTCTATCACACATTAAAAGAGTTGTTTTTAGAATCCCTTACTTTTGAATTACACCTTGGTAATTACTTTTTGAGTTAATCATTTAATTACCATAGGTTATATTAGTTAATTGTGTTTAATAAAGTGAGAATTTCATGTGGATGATTCTTCATTGTCTTTAATGACTGGTTTATCTTATCCATCTAATATCTCTTCAACAAATGTCCTTATGTCACCATAGTTTATGAGTCCTTCTACTTTTGTTAACCTAGAATTTTCATTTGAGGTATCATTGAGACTATTTACAACAGTAAGTCCTCCTGTGGTTTTAGATCACATGCCTCCATATGTTATCATAATGCATTATTAAGGCAAAAATTGGCACATTTAAGCTTAAACATCCCTTTGTTGGGCTTTTAATATTTGAGGATTTGAAGTCTCTTCAGTTAATGGCAGAATCTAACTTTGCACTCAAAGCTTTGGTGATTCCTCAATGGCAATAGGCAATGGTCAAGGAGTTTGCAGCACTTTAACACAATCAAACCTAATCTTTAGTTCCATCTCATGCTTCTCAAAAGGTAATCGATTGCTACTGGCTCTTCAAAAAAATATAAGGCCAATAACTCTCTTTTGAAGTGTAAGTCAAGGCTAGCCAGGACAGGTTTTCAATAAACCCCTAGGTTTGATTACTATGAAACATTTAGACCTATTGTGAAAATAACGATGGTACGTGTGGTTCTAACAATAGTTGTTACCTTTAATTGGGAGATTTACCAGTTGGATATCAACAATGCATTTCTCAATGGATTTTTACAAGAAGAAGTTTATATGAGGCATCCAAAAGGTTTCATAGATCCAATAAGGCCAAATAATGTTTGCAATTAAGCTTATAAAAGCTATATGTGGGTTAAGCTCCCTATGCTTGGTTTAAGCATCTAAGACTTGCTCTTCTATAAAGGGTTTTCAAAACTGTTGAAGCAATGCTTCTTTGTTTATGCTTCGAACTAATGGCTTGATTGTGTTCATTCTTGTATATGGTGATGACATCTTTATCACTGGTAATAATGTAGCCTATATAAAATATTTTATCAAAAACTAAACAATTTGTTCTCTTTAAAAGATTTAGGCTCAATTCATTATTTTGTGGGCATTAAAGTTGCTAGTGATAGTTTTGGGCTTTATTTAAGTCAAGCTAAATATGTCCTAGATATTTTGAGAAAATTTGGTATGCTTGATTGTGCCCCTGTTTCTACCTTAACGGTGATTGATCAACATTTTTCAATTTCTGATTAAATACTTTTCAGTGATGCAACTGTTTATCGTCAAGCTATAAGAGCACTTTAATACCTCACTACTATTAGAACATATATTGCTTACTTTGTGAATAAACTAAGTCAATTCATTTCTAAACTAATTGATGTACATTTTTAAGTGGTCAAGAGGGTCTCAAGATGTCTTAAAGGCACATATACAAATTTAGCTTACATATTAAGCCTTTCATTCATTTTAACCTCAATGCCTTCATTGATGTTGATTAGGCTACAAATATGGATTATTAAAAGTTGATGGTTGGCTTTTGTGTCTTTTTAAGTAATACATTGATAGCTTAAGCTTCTAGAAAGCAAAGAGTATTGTTAAGGTTTGTTACAAAATTTGAATATAAGGGCCTTACAGATACCACATCAGAGGTTAATTGGTTGTGTTCTCTTTCATATGAACTTGGTTGTTCTCCTAGAAAACCTCCTATAATGTGGTATGATAATCTTAGTACAAGTGCTCTTGTTACCAACCCTGTGCAACATGTTAGAACAAATCATATTAAAATCGATTTGAATTTGTTAAAGATCAAGTGCATGTTGGTACTCTTGATGTTCGATTTACACCTTCACACAATCAAATGGTAGCTTGCTTTACAAAGGCTTTAGCTCTTATTATAATTTTAATGACTGTAAAAACAAACACGAATTAGTTGTCATCCCTTCTTGTTTGAGGGGGAATGTTAAAGAATAAGATTAGTTATTAATTATGTAATTAGTTAAGATTCAAATAAAGGCAAATTCTGTATAGGTCTTTCACAAATATTCCTTGTATTTCTTTATATACATGTCTTTATTATATTTGTTTATATGTAACCACCTGTACTATATATAGTGATGAAAGGAGCCTAACCTCCTTAATTTTTCTCTGAGCATGCATTTCCTTTCTTGTTCTTGAGTTTCTATCTATAGGTAAGGCACTATTCTACTTTTTTTTGTTTGGCCAAGAACATGAGAATCATATCATTAAACTTAAAAGTGTAGTACAGCAAACTCATAAAAGCAAACCACAAACAAGGTGAAAGTAGCACAAAAACTAAACAACACAAAGCAAAACTCCAGTTTTTATCGAAGGTGAACATCCTAAAATTAGAGCAGTCACTATCTAGGAGAGTAGCTTATAGAGGTAAGGGCAAAGACGCTAACCTGAGGGGTACACCTAAGGCACTAGTCTACTTAATTGTTTGGTTTTCTAAAAATATATATAACTATACGATCCAATCCCTCTTAATGAGCTCCTTAACTTTAATTTTTTGATGTAATTGGTAGCTAAGTGGATTATTATGAAATTGTTTTCATTTTAGATGAGGTTAAGAGCCTTAATCAAGTTGCAATAGGCATGAATCTTGGGATATAGTAATATAGGTTAAGACCTTCAAGAATGTTTGGGAGCTTCATTACTGTACTTAAACATGGAATCTAAAAACTTTGACTTAGTTACCATGCATGGTCATTCACATGAGACTGCCATTTAAGATGTTGCTCCATATTGGTTAACAGAGCCATCAATATCCAACTTGATGGACACTTTTTATAGTGTAGATCTCTTGGTTTCAAAGGAGAAAAATCCTTACTTCCATCTTAAGTAGGTTATTTGTTATACTTTAAGCATTGATAGAGCAATATTGTGTTTGAGTACCATTTCATTATTGAGGTAATGTTATAATATGTCTAATTTTCTATATGTTTCAACATACATGAGCATGTAATCTTTTTCAAGAAACTCTCCTTGCATTCAAGCACTTCCCTTACTTCATTTTCTAGCGTTCCATATAATTGATTCAATCTTAGAGGGAAGAGAAGAAGTGTTTGATTAATTTAACCTAAACCTTAGGGTTTTTGATGAAATCTCTAAGGAAATGAGGAGATGCCGAACAGTTGCAAATCAAAAGGGTAGATCTTTGACAGATGCTGACCTTTAATATTTACAAATTTGGTTTGGAGGCGATTCCACACACTGATGCATTTCAAAATATAAGTTTGGATTTGTCTTGATATTGATAAGGTTGTCAACTTCAATGGAGCTATAACTTGTGGTGGAATCATACGAGATAGTAAAGATAATTGGATTAAAAGATTTTTCAAATACCTCGACTATCAATCCAACACCATGACAAAACTCTTGAGCATTTTAGAAGGACTTTAGTTTTATTGGAATGCACGATTCAATAAAATAAACATACATTCTGATTCATGAAAGCCCTCTCACTTATCCAGTGTAATTTCTCTAACAACCATCCTCTCTTTAGAATTATTAGCAAAGTCAGAGAATTTGTTATGAAAGATTGAATCATTACCTTCGACTATACATTTAGGGAAGTGAATAAATGCACAAACATGATTATTTACCAAGCCTTTCAAAAAAATTTAGATCTTATTATTTTTAATTACCCGCCTTCAAGATGCAGATTCCTTATGAAATTTAATATGACATGATTTACATTCTCCTATCACACAAGTTTTTCTATGTCCTTGTATTCAATATATATATATATATATATATGTCACTGTCATTTAACCTTATAGGATAAATGACTTATAGAGAAATACTTCAAATTGTGCGTCAATGAAATCTACCTTTACAGTTGAGATTCAAATTTAATTTTAATTTCAAATATTAATTTAAATAAGATTTACTATTTAAACCATGTGAAATGCCACGCATTATGTGAAATTTGAAAAGCAATAAGAATAAGAATTAGTAGTCAAATTAAAGCTATGAATAATACACCTTATTATAAATTTAATTTATATTTTAGGAAAAACATGATTTTTGATTCTTATAGTTTCATCAAATTTTATTTTTATTTCTTGTAATTGTTTTTAGTATTTTCAATCTTTATAATTTTAAAAAGATTGGGTGATCTTTATTTTTTAGGTCCTCATAGTTTTCATTTTTTAGTGGTTTTAGTTCTTATAGGGACTGAACACATTGAAAAAATTATAGGGACTAAATACAAAACTTAATGAAACTATAGGGACAAAAAATTATGTTTTTTCCATATTTTATTTAAACTTCACACACTTTTTAATATTTAGGATTTAGGATTTAGCACTTCTTATAATGAACATTAAATACACATGTAATAAACTACTATTAATATATCAATAAGATTTCTTTTTTAACCAGCAATGCGATTGTTAATACACTATAATTTAAATCAATGAATTTAATTTAAAAATGAAATATAAGAGCTGTTTCTTTATATTTTTAAAAATTATTTTTTAAAAAAAAAGAAAAATTCAAAAATTTGTTTGGATAAGTTTTTTTATTTAATTATTTTTAAATTTTTTATTTTTTTTAAAATAATTTTAAATTGTTTTTGTTTCTAAAATACATTATATTTAATTATTAAAAATTATAGTTACTTTTCATCAATTTCTATTATTAATCAACATTATTAGTTGCTTATAATCAATTTATTTTTTAATTTTAAAACTGTTTTTAAATTGACATAACCAAATAAAATCTCATTTTATTTTATTTTAAAAAATAAAAAAATTATATTACAAAAAAATTTATTATATTACAAAATAAATTTTAAAAACAATAAATAAGGATAGAAACTAAACAGGCCCAGGCCCTGGTGAAACGGGGGGATCAAATCAAAGTGATGATAATCTGTTTCCATGGCCATCTCCAAAACGAGAAAAAAAGGAAAAATCGTTTATTTCTCCAAAGGCGGCTCACGTGCATGGCATGCATACAACAGCAGGCGTAGGCTATATATAGGGAAGATCCTGCCGTTTCCCATTTATCACTCACTCCTGGAAGCTGGCCCTCTGCCCCTCCACTGGAAGAAGATCAAATCCTAGGGTTTGCGAGGTTAGTCGAATTTCTCAAACTCCAAACCCTAACAGTTTTCTTTACCGTCGATCGATCACTCTATTGGACTGCAAGCGCTCTTTTCAATATTTGTGGGTTTTTCGTGTATAGCGGCTTTAAATAGATTTTGGTGAAGATTCTGTTGTTTTCTTGTTTTACGTTATGGATTCAATGCGTCCTTTTGCTTGTTGAGATCGATTCTTTTTTGGGCTTGTTGTGTTACTTCGCTGATTTGGTCGCTAGCTGTTTGTGTCGGTGCTTGCATATTTTGTTATTTTCGGTCCTTAATTAACTGTACCTTCTTAATACACACACGGTCACAAACACGTACGAGATTGAGGACGTAAAGCTCTATTGTGCCAAGGCTTCACTACAAGTAGCCTCACTTTCCTCCCTCCTTCATCTTCTCTCGCGTATGTGAGGGGATTCGATCAGTCCGTTATTCATCCATTTTGTGTATTGTAATCTTAAAAAAACATCTATCTTTTTTGCCTCTAAATAATCTATATGTTTAAGTTCAGGCTTTTACGTGCTCTTATAACAAGGCCCTCCCGGTAAATAAGCAAGTAGTGATATGTTGTATATCATTAGGTCTTTTAATTACTCTGGATTTCGTTTTCACTGTCTGAACTATATCATATTTTCCCTAATTGATATGATTGGCATCTCAATCTCTATAGATTCACAATTCCGTTGTGCAATTTTTGGAGTGAGAAGCCTTAAATTCCTACATACTTGCAATGGCTTCAAAACGCATTACTAAGGAATTGAGGGACCTACAGAAGGATCCTCCTGTTTCTTGTAGCGCTGGTAAGCTTCAGAATCACCTCTGTCCTCTTAGTTTCTGTTTGCCTTTTGTTTTGATTATATTTGTACAGCTTATATATACAATCTTGTGCGCGGTGCAGCCATCTTGGTGCAATGCATGCTATAATCAATCACGACCAGATTTGTATTTATGATCCATGCTATTATTGTATTTCGCTGGATATACCAACTTTTCATGACTTATGAAGCATTTTTCAAGTACTTATTGAGTCTCCAGTGTAATATGTTCTCTCACTTCGTAAGAATACTTGTTAAGGAGGAAAGGGAGGGTTTTTGTGCGTAGAAAATGATATATTGTACGCATCCGTGCAGGCCCTGTTGGTGAAGACATGTTTCATTGGCAAGCTACAATTATGGGCCCAGCAGACAGTCCTTATGCCGAGGGTGTATTCCTGGTGAACATTCACTTCCCCCCAGACTATCCATTCAAGCCGCCTAAGGTAATTTATTCACAATGCTGAGAGTTCTGTCGACTCATTACCAATCAGCCAATGCAATTAGTCTAGCTAGCTATTTAATTTTTCCCACCTTACACGTGTTAAACATTGTTGAGTCGCCAATTTCTGTATGGCATGGTGGCACAAAAGATCATACTCGTTGGTGTCAGGTTGCAGGTTCGATTCTGCTTGTTGTTTCAAGCATTAAGCTTGCCTTTTGTGATTTAAGAAAAAGAATATTGATGTTGGGTCGAAAATATATATCTAATAAGTTGACAATGTCAGAGAAATAATCTCATTCTGACTCTCATTTAATTGGTTGTTTCGGGCAGGTTTCCTTCAGAACAAAGGTATATCACCCCAACATCAACAGCAATGGAAGTATTTGTCTTGATATTCTGAAAGAGCAGTGGAGCCCTGCTCTTACAGTTTCTAAGGTACAACGGTTCCTACAATAAAATATACGAACCTTCATTTTACATAATAGGAAGCGAGTTATGAATTGTAAAGCGATGATTTTGTGAGTAATAGAATGGGAGAAATTGTTGTGATGCAGGTACTGCTGTCAATATGCTCACTGCTTACAGATCCAAACCCAGATGACCCTCTGGTGCCTGAGATTGCTCACATCTACAAGAACGACAAAGACAAGTATGAGACGACTGCACGTTCTTGGACTCAAAAATACGCCATGAACTAGTCTAGCCCCTTCTGTTCCTTTGCTTTTCTTTATCCTTCAAGTTGGTGCTTCCGCTTTCATTTCATAATAATCCATCCAAGCTGTGTATGATCAATATTTCACATTTCTCTTTCCTTGTAGCTATTGATTTCAATTCCAAGTCGTTATTTTACTGATGTCTTTTTTGCTAGTCTATTTATCTTCTGACCACTACTACTAAGTATAGAATTAGAACACGTGTGTTATGGAGAAATAAGATTTACTCATGGTTTATAAATAATATGAAATTCCTATATATTGATGAACAATATTGATGGGCTAGTTGCCCAACCGTTTTCTGCTAACTAAGTTGAGTTTAATGAACGTGAAAATTTTAATTATTTCATTAAATGCTTAATTGACTTCCTGCAAATGCAAAAAGTTGTACTTTTTGCTAAAAAAAAAATAACAAGAATTCTTGAACAACTTGTGCATTATTAGAATTTATTAAAGCCAAAATTCAAATTTATGTTTTTTTTATAGGGCTTGCAGTGCAATTCTTCCTATATAAAATAATCCAAACAACCTTTGCGTAATTTAAATAATATATGTCATAAGAACTTTCAGAACATCAGAAGTTGTATCCAAACAGTTTTTAGAAGAGTGTATTTCAAATTACAGGGAGTTGTGAAGGAAGAATAGTGATTGACAATTGACAATATGAATCTGTGTGTGTTATGAATGCTTACAAAGAAGGAAAAATTTGAGTATACAATGCCCCAAACTTGAACAACATGATAACTTGTTATTTGGTGGGGGTGCTAACCTGATGATTGCAGTTTCAGCCTCTCCCATTTTGGCGATGTATGTTATAACCCACTAAGCAGTCTCCGTTTTATTAAACATTGTCTCCGTTTTTCGTGTATCTTATGAAATGTTAGCTATTCCAATTTTTTTCCTTATACTCCTATAGATAATGTGACATGATATAACATTTGTTATGTATTGACGATAATTATTTAGCACCCAAAATAATTGTTAACTTAGATAAAAAAAACATGAGGTAAAAAAATACTATTTAATGTTAAAATCAAAATCTCGATGATTCAAAGTTGATACTTATTTGTTTTTAGTAGGAAACTCGATATTTAGAAAATAATATATATATATATATAGATTGAATTTATAATATACAATATTCAAAGTAAAATATAATGAATTCAATCAATAAAATTTAACATGTATAAATAAATTTACCAGATACTGATTTGATTATAAATTTTATACTATAAAAATGAACTTAAAATTTGAAATACGTTGACGATGGTGGATATTTTGTGGAAAATTCAAAATTATCGGCTCCCGGGTCAACTTGATCCATTTCCTATATCCGTGTGTCAATTGGTATGCGCTTTAATCGTCACGGCAGCTTCCCGGTAGTCCCCGACTCGCCGCCGTCGCCAGTCGTTATTCCTCTCATCCTCACTTGCACGTAAGATATTTGCTCTTTGAAATTAAAGACAGATATTTATTTGATGAGAACTTCCAAATCAGTTCACTTAAACAAGACAGAACTTCGAAATCTACGAACGCTCTCTTCAATTCTTCGTACGCTTCGACGCCACATCCTCCGCAACACAATGTGTAAGCTTCTATGCTAGTAAGCTTGTGGGTTTCGTCTGATAAGGAAAGAAGATTAGCAACCAGAAAAAGAGAGATTCTTACAATGATAGTATGGCTCAGCATAGGCAAACCGGAATTGATAGGTATGGGGTTCCGGGAAGTCATGATACGCACCAAACGAACGGTACGGCTGATCACGTGACCATTGGAATGCGTGCCACCACCCACGGCCACGAGCACCAACGCCTCCGGAGATCGGCGAGATCCGACAAGGCTCAGTTTTACACCGTTCGGGCTATCCTAGTATTCCTCTGCCTTGTCCTTCTTGTCACTGTCTTGGCATATTATTACATTTCTAAAGAGGGTAAACGCTAGATTTAAAAGAGTATTCATTTAATATATTCGGTTCTTGAAGTTATCCAATTTAGTTCCCGCTTTTCTTTGTTATGTTATTCTGTTTAGTTGCTGAAAAGCATCAGTCCTGACACCTGAGGACTAGGAAAGGTGTGTCAAATCTGAGGATTTCTTTTTGTTTGGTTGTGTGACTATAAATTAAGGCAGGTGAGAGACATTTTGAGTGTTCTTTTTCACTGTTTGTTAGTGACCAGATTGATTCTTTGGATTCAAATGCCACTTGATCAGCAAAGTTCCTTTTCGTTTTGCTGATATAATGCCATGTACTTGCGCTTTTGAATTCTGAGTTTCTTGCAAGATGTTTTCACGATGATTTAACTGTTGTTGCAGAAATAAATAATGATAATGATAATAATGGAACTGATGATTTAAGGAGTGATTCTGATTTTCCCACCAATGTATCACGGGTTGGGAGAACTAGAGTCCTTGAGTTTGGGAAGGGTTCTGTGGGACGTGGCCAGGATTCAAGGTATTGGGATAAAGATGATAGGAGAAGGGATGAAGATTACAATGAGGATGTGATGGAACAGACCAGCGGTGGCTCCAGGAATGAAAATGTTGAAAAAGATGATTCTCTTTTGACGACTATGGGGTCTTCTCACAACGATTCACAGACAGGCTTTGGTCAAAGAGGTGTTGGGTTGTATAATGAAGCTGGACACTATGAATTGAAAAGGTATGAAGCAAAGTATGAGGCCCCTTTGAAGAAGAGGGGAAACATGACTGATGATGATAGAAGAATATCTTATGTTGCTGATCTGGACAAGAAAAATGCAGCAGCTGGCATAGATGATGATTATGATGACTTTTTTTATTTTCATGATGCTCAAGTTGAAGACTATGATAAAAGTAGAAATACGAAGTTGGAACGTTCTAATTTTGTACTAAAATCGAATGACGAAGTTCATAAGGCCTCCAACTCTTTCGATGCTGGAATTGATGATGATATTGTTGCTGAGAGTGTTGAGGTGGCCTCCTCCTTGAATAAAAAACCTTTCCATGATGTAAGACCAATTGATGTAAGGAGTCTTGGTGGTGGAATAATAGTGTACAGGACAAAATCAAGTATAAGAAGAACTGTTTTAAAGCCATACATTTGTGTAACAATGAGGAAAATTGGGAGAGGTACCGTATGGCTAAGAAGGAAACTAAGAGAGCTGTGGGTGAAGCTCGTTCCAAAGCTTTTGAAGAATTTTATAAGAACCTTGAGACGAAGGAAGGAGAGCAAAATATTTATAAGATTGCCAAGAGTAGGGAAAGAAAATCAAGAGATCTAGAACAGGTAAGGTGTATTAAGGATGAAGAGGGAAGAATTTTAGTTACAGATGATGAAATTAAAAATAGATGGGAGACTTATTTTTCTAAACTTTTCAATGATGGAGAGGATTCATCTAGTAACTTGGAGGATTTAGTAACTGGTGAAAGAGAACAAAATTTGTCATTCTATCGAAAAATACGTGATAAGGAGGTAAAGGAAGCTCTTAAGAAAATGGCAAATGGTAGAGCTAACGGACCTGATTGTATATCTATCGAAGCGTGGAAATGTTTAGGTGAAGAAGGGGTGAGATGGTTAACTAAGTTATTTAATGTGATTTTACGGTCCAAGAAAATGCCTGATGAGTGGAGGAGAAGTACATTAATTCCTATTTATAAAAATAAAGGAGATATTCAGAATTGTACTAACTATAGAGGGATTAAACTCATGAGCCACACAATGAAATTGTGGGAGAAAGTAATTGAGCATAGGTTGAGATTGGAGACAAGTATTTCTGAGAATCAATTTGGTTTTATGCCAGGTAGATCAACTACAGAGGCAATTTATCTACTAAGGGGATTAATGGAAAAGTATCGTTGTAAAGATAAAGATCTACACATGGTTTTTATTGATTTGGAAAAAGCTTATGACCGTATACCAAGAGAAGTGCTTTGGAAAGCGTTGGAAAAAAAGGGAGTACGGATTGCTTATATTAAAGCCATACAAGATATGTATGAGGGGGTAAAAACTAGTATAAGAACGCCTAGTGGTCAAACAAAGGATTTTCCTATAAAGATTGGACTACATCAGGGATCATCTCTGAGTCCTTATTTGTTCAACTTGATTTTAAATGTTTTGACGGAACATATTCAAGAGGAAATCCCAAAATGTATGCTCTTCGCAGATGATATAGTTCTTATAGCAGAGACAAGAGAAGAGGTTAATTGCAAACTTGAGTTATGGAGGAGGACATTGGAGTTGAAAGGTTTTCGTCTGAGTAGAAGTAAGACGGAATATTTATATTGTAAATTTGGTAAAGGACTATTCGAAAATAATTTGGAAGTGAAATTGGGAGATCAAATCATACCTCAAGTGGAAAAGTTTAGATATTTGGGAGCCATTATTCAAAATGATGGCGAAATCAGTGGAGATATTTCACATAGAATTCAAGCTGGGTGGTTTAATTGGAGAAAAGCTAAAGGAGTTATTTGTGACCGTAAGGTGCCTAATAAACTTAAAGGAAAGTTTTATCGTACTGCTATCAGACCGGCAATGTTATATAGTAGTGAATGCTGGGCTCTAACGGGACAGCAAGAGCATAAAGTTGGAGTAGCAGAGATGAGAATGTTACGATGGATGTGCGGACATACACGTAAAGATAAAATTCAAAATGAGCACATACGTGAAAAAGTGAGGGTGGCACCTATTGAGGAAAAAATGGTAGAAAATCGGTTGAGATGGTTTGGGCATGTACAAAGAAGACCAAGGGAGGCACCAGTGAGAAGAGTGGAACATATAACTTTGAGTCCGATTAAGAGAGGTAAAGGAAGGCCTAAGAGAACACTCTTGGAAGTTGTTGAACGTGATCTCTTAATTAATAATATTTCTAAAAGCTTAATAAATGATAGAGCACAATGGCGTCTTGCAATCCATATAGCCGACCCCACCTAGTGGGATAAAGGCTTGTTGTTGTTGTTGATGTAAGACCAATTGCTCCACGTGTCAGCCTTGTTAATGAACAACCAATGAGAAAACCACCACTAACAAGAAGAGAACCCAAACGCCGCAAGTTTTCAGGTGAATACATATTCCGTCTTTGTGTTCTTTTCCTTAAATATCTGTTGTATGACTCTTATTGACCTCTTTGGGAAATTGTCCTCGTTGGATTCTCTAAGTACTAGCTCT